ACATAATGCTATTGCATACTTAATAGATTACAGTATAGTGTAAATATAACTTTTATATGCAATGGGAACCTAAAAAATTCATATGACTTGCTTTATTGCAATATTTAACTTATTCTGGCAGTCTGGAACTGAGCCTGCGGTATATCTAAAGTATGCCTGTACTACTTTAGCCAGTTGTTTGTGAAAGCTTCTCTAAAGAGGTGCCATGTGAGTTGAGATCCAAATAATGAGTAGAAGCCACTTCAAAAGACTTGTTGGAATAGTGTTGAGACACGGAACAGTAAGTGCAAAGGCCCTGATGCAGAAGCAATCTTGGCATGACCAGAAGGAAGGCCAGGATGACTGGAGTGGTGAGTGGGGGAAGGAGTCTATGGTGAGGTTGCAGAGGGAAGTAGAGGTAGGTTCAGGTGTGGCCCTGCAAACCATGGTAAGTAATCTGTGTTTTATTCTGGGTACAATGAGAAGCCATTAGAGGATTTTAAGCATGGGAGTACCCTGATGTTTTAGAACTAATGGTAGAACGGAGGACTGGTAATCTGACACTTAAAGAGAAGCCTAGGGCATTACATCTCAATGGAGAACTTCAGTAACATAGCCTTCCTTGGAGCTGTACTGTGAAAAGTAAATCTCACCTTTAAACTCAGATGTTTTTGTTGTTTGTTTTGTTTTTGCTTCCAACCTAGAGGTCTTCATATGTCACCTCTCATAGTAAAATATTGCCTGTGGTCTGAAGCTCACTGTAGTATCTTTGCCCAGGACCACAATAGGAACTTGTTAAATTTTAGTTTTAGTCAGTGTCCAAAAATCAATTTTCAAGGCCTTGTTGAGATCACTTAAATTTGGGAGCCCAGAGAAATGACAGTGTCCTTTCAGTTTGTAGTTTGAGGAATGTGGGATCTCTCTTTTTTTTTATTTTACTCTTTACTACGTATGGTATTTTCATAATTTTGTCAGCTGTTTTTTAAGAATCGTTATTACCTATTGTTTCAGGACTGATTCTTCTGATTACAATTTAAAGCAGTGTTTCCCCAAATTATGGCACAGGTCGTTTCTCAGTGTGTGCTTCTCCCTCTGCACTATTCATCAAGTATAACAGGCAATTTCAATGCTGACAGGTCTAGACAAACAATATTTAAGCCGTAATGATTTCCAGATATTAAGTACCTATTTTCCAAGGAAAACTGATGGTAATTTTCTACAACTCACTATTCACACATGCTTCAGAATTTACATTTTTGCCCTTTATTAGTCTATGATTCACGTAAAGTGCAGCTCCTCTCAGTACCTGACAGAGAATGTTTTAGTAAGTAATTTACAGCTTGCTGAAGGTAAGCTGTCTTGAAAAATTATTTAACAGCAACTTAAACCAATTCATGAGACTAAAACTGAAAGAATAATTCACAAACTTTATTCAAGAAAAGTTAAAAAACAAAGTATTACTTTTTAAAAGCTTGCAGTTCTTTTCACATAAAATGATACTTTTGGTGACCCTGATAGAAACGTGAGGGCGGTGGGAAGAACTAACTTACCACAGTTAAGAGCGTGAACTCTGAACGGACTGTCTGAGTTTGAGTCCCTGCAACACCTTCTGGGTCACTTTGAACAGGTGACATAATCTTATTTTCATTTAACTTTACTTTCCTCCTCTGTAAAATGGGGAAAATAATAGCTTCTCCTTCATAGGCTTGTTGAGAGCATTAAATCAAATAATCCACATAAAGCAAGGAATCTGATACAGAGTAAATGCTAATTAAATGTTAGCTATTATGCTGATGAAAGCACAGATTGCAGGAAAATAAAATTAACCTGTCATCCTACCAGCCAGATATTTATTTATTTATTTATTTATTTTTGGTGAGGAAGATTAGCCCTGAGCTAACAGCTGTTGCCAATCCTCCTCTTTTTGCTGAGGAAGATTGAGCCTGGGCTAACATCCGTACCTATCTTCCTCTTCTTGATATGTGGGACGCTGCCACAGCATGGCTTGACAAGCGGTGCATCAGCGCGCACCCGGGATCTGAACCTGCGAACCCCGGGCCACTGAAGCGAAGCAGGCAAAATTAACCACTACACCACCAAGCTGGCCCCCGATTTATTTATTTTAATGTTTAATATTTGATAAGTTTGATAAACTTGCTTCAAAATGAGTTTAAAATGTCCATCAGACCCACGTGTTTACTAAAAGGATTACTTATACCTGGGTGCAGAGACAAGCCTCATCTTTGGGAATAACAATAAACATCTACAGAAGATTCTAGGCTCAGGTTCTACCAAGATAACATCAAAGCAATTGACAGAAAATTACAGAAAGCTAATTGCCTCTATGTCATCAACAAACACGAACAATAAATTAACACTCCTTACTCCACGTAACGAGTTTGTCCACAATGATGTTAATGAGCAAATACGTAACTGTGGGATAGGAACATTTAGATTCATAGCATGTTGAAGGAAACTGGAAGATCATTTTTAATCTCCACATTTTATAGCTGGAGGGACTGGGGTTCAGAACAGAAAAGGGACACGAGCAAAGCTACAAGTTTATTCCTCCACTTCATGTCATTACCACTGAATGTCTCTACCGCTCAGCTTTCCCTGTGACATGATGGGTTAGATTAGCTCTTCGATATCCTTTCGAGTTAAAAAATACCATGAACCTATGGTCCCTGACCTCTGGCTGCCAAATATCTGTTACATAGATTTTTCTACTCCATTTCATCAACCATTTGTTTTCTTTCACCTAGGCACTGAAATACTTGCTTCTTGCCTACAAATAAGTGCACAAAGATGGGAGGAAGGAAGGCAGCAGCCCCTCCAAGGGCCTCTGGGGGCTTTTGTCAATGCTCAGGTTAATCACATCAGCAGTGCAGCTCAGAGCTCTGCATTTGGCTCCAGATGATGTCTGGCTTCCTTGGCCTTCTCTGAAGCATTCCACATAAACCACTGACATGTCCCGACTTCTCATGGGTGGGGGAGACTTGGCAATGGAAAAAAATCGTGACTAGAAATGGCTTTCCAGAAGTCCAATAAAGACCTTAGGACAAGGGCCGTGTCCATTCTGTTTGCCTGATACGGTGCCTTGCACTTATTGAAAATTAGATACACTTGGCATTGGATAAAAATTGTAGCCAGCACCAGACATGCACAACATTCCAGGCATAAGGCTCTTGGTCTGTCAGGTGCTTTCTAAGATCTCACTTCTTAGTAGAGGCAGCGTGACACAGTGGTGATGAGCACAGGCTCCAGAAATGTGCACCCAGGTTTGCATCCAAGCTATGAACTCTGAGTGTGACATTTAATCTATCTGTGCCTCAGTTTCCTCATCTATAACATGAGGACAATAATTGAAGCTACTTCAAGAGCCCTTGTGAGGATGAAATTAGCTAATATTTATAAAGTATTTACAACACAATATGGAATATAGTTAGCATTCAATAGATGCTTGGTCTCTCATTATTAGCATTAGGACTAATTTAATCGTACTACCAACTCTGTGAAGGAGGTATTCTAATACCCGGATTTTGGCTGAAGAAATTGAGATTCAAAGATCTTAAATGATTCAATGATTCCTCCAAAGCTATTGTTAGTAACCGGGAGACCTATGATTTAAATCTAGAAGGCAAACACTCAAGTGAATTAATGATGGTTATATGTGGTGGTTCAGAGAGCAGGCTGTGGAGTCAGGAAGCTGGGTTTGAATCTCGGCTCTGTCATTACCAGTTGTGTGCCTTTGAGCAGGTTATTCTGAGCCTTGATGTACTAAGAATAATAGGTCCAATACCATAGGGATGTGGCAAGACTTAAATGTGATAATGCTTGTTAGTCGTTAGTTGAGAGACCTGCACCTTCACTTGTTGTTACTAGTAGCAATGGCCTTAGTCAACTCCAATTACTTCCTCCAAAAGCCCACCCAAACACCTTAGAGTCATCCCTGATTCTGCCTTCCTAACTTCCCTCAACACACAGGCTCATCTATTCTAAGTCCTATGTCATTCTTCCCCCCTGAATCTCTCAAACACCTTGAATCCCTTGTCCTCTCTTCAACACCATTGCCACTAACCTGGTTTAGATGCCATCTTCTCTTCTGTGGATGCTGAAGCAGCCTCCTTGGTTTTCTCCATCATCTTTCTTGTCTTGACCACCTGCGGTCTGTTCTTCACACTGTACCCACAGTAGTGTTTCTAGTCTGCACACATGTCACTTGCCTCCCTAAAAACTTCGATGGGCTTCGTTGTTCCTAGTATACTCCTAGCCTCACTCACTGTTTTCCTTCGTGTGCTCTGTGCTCCATATTCCCTGTCATACCACATTCCCTCACCTCCAGCACTTCACATATGCTCTCCCCTTTGCCAGAAATATTGTTCACCCTCTCTTTCCCCAGCAACCCCCTACTCATCATTCAGGTCTCAGCTTTGGTTTCACTTTCCCTGTAAGCCTTCCCTAACCCTGAACTCTAAGCTTGGTGGCCCTTCCAGGAGGTCCTGGATATTATCTGTCATAGCACTTGCCAAATGCACTATAATTTTCTTACCCTTTCTTACTCTTATGTCTCCTCTACTAGACCATAATCTGCATGAAGGCAGGGCCATATCTAATGTGTCCATTACAACTACTTGCTTACTATTACTACAAGTTATATAAGCATCCCTGGTGCCCAACACAGTATCTGGCACATGTGGTACTAAACAAATATTTATTGAATAAATGTATGCGTGAATGAATGAACACCAGCTTTCCAACCAGCAAAGACCAATAAGACAGGAGACTCAAAGAAAATTCATTCTATGGCTGTTATTAAAAGACAAGAAATAACAAGAGTTGGAGAGGATGTGGATAAAAGGCAATCCTTGTACACTGTTGATGGGCATGTAAACTGGTGCAGCCACTATGGAAAACAGTATAGAGATTCCTCAAAAAATTAAAAATAGAACTACCATATGATCCAGCTATTCCACTTATGGGTATTTATCCAAAGAACATGAAAACACTAATTCAAAAAGATCTGTTGCCTCCTATGCTCATTGTAGCATTAATCACAGTAGTCAAGACTTGGAAACAACCTACATGCCGTTGGTGGATGAATGGATAAAGAAGATGTAGTATATACATACAATGGAATACTATTCAGCCATAAAAAAGATGAAATCTTGCCATTTGTGACAACATGGATGAACCTTGAGGGTATTATGCTAAGCCAAAAAAGTCAGATGGAGAAAGACAAATACCATATGATTTCACTCATATGTGGAAGATAAAAATGAATAAATAAAAAACCAACACATAGATACAAAGAACAGATTGGTGGTTACCAGAGGAGAAAAGGGGTAGGGGGAGGGTGAAAGGCATAAAGAGACACATCTGTATGGTGATGGATAAAAGCTAGACTTTTGGTGGTGAACATGATGGAGTCTATATAGAAGTGGAAATATAATGATATACACATGAAATTTATATATTATAAACCAAAGTAACCTCAAATAAATAAGTAAATAAAATTCAATCTAGTGGCAAGAGTGACATTTCTTACTGCTTAGTTCTGCTCCCATCAGTAAACTTGGTTGATGGGATTCCTTCAAATTTAAATTATTTATTGCAGAATAGAGCTGCCATTTTTTTCTTTTCTTTTTTTTTTTTTTTTT